AAGATGATCATATAAATTAAGGAGAGAAATAAGTAGAATAATAATTTTGTTCTCCTTTGAAAAATTTAATTTCATACGAAGAATATTATTCAGTAATTAATTAAAATAATTAATATGAGATGTCAAATCATCTCTATCTAACATGCATAACTTAAATAATTTTCTCTTCAATGTCAATTTGCTCATCATCAACTTTGGTGCACATCGTTTCTCTAACTTTTTCTAAAGTTTCTTTAGATTGTATTCATCTATGACCTATTGAAGAGCCCAATTAGATAAACATGTACGAACAAAATCTTCAGCCTTACTCTCCATTATCTCTCAATCATCAACACTGATCTTGTCTAGTTTTAGACCATCCAAAGTTTTATACAAGTCAGTCTACAACAACGCATCATACACAATACTTTCAGATATTAAAGTTAGAAGACTTATCTAACTTCTAGATGTCAATATGCACCTTAGAAGTTATAATCAATTTAGAAATAATCAAACTAATACTCTAATACCACTTGTAGAAGAAATATATAAACACATGATTATAATAATAGTGAAAAGTTAATTTCTAGATATCAATAAGAACAAATAGAAGAAAAATTACCAAGCTATTCTGAATCTCAATGAAAACAAGACTTACATTAAGTATCTCTAATTTATGTCTCAATGCCCTCGAAATGACTCACACATTGAAGAGTCAACAATGAACTTTTACTTGTAATAGAAGAGAGAGAAGATACCAAGAAAAAGAATAGAGTTGATGGAGAAAGAGAATAAAATCAAAACAAAAATTATTATATGTCGTTTCTCAAAAAATAAGATATACATGCCCTATTTATATAAAACAGCTGCAACCCCACATAACTATAGAAGGGGTCATAATGGTCGACGTGATTACTGCCCCATTACTCATCACACGCCTCCCGAGCGAGTCAGACGGGAGAACTCTCTAGCGTCTCCCCCGAATGGGTCAGCTATAATGGACTGACACTGTCAACAAACTCATCATACACACAATGCTTTGTAGACTTCTAGAGTAGAGCCAGCACTCCAGTAAGGACTCCAGTAGTCTGTCGGGGTAACGTAAACCACGTCCACGCCATTCCGAGCAGGATGGCAGCACCGGCGCGCATATTCTTAAGATCCTTCACGCCGCCTGGTATCCCCAGGGGCAACGACGTCCCCCGGGCGGGATTATAGAGCAATAGCCTCGAGGAGGTCAGCCCCTCCTGCCCATGCTCCAGCAGGACGACCAGCCCACCGTCTGACCCTAGAATCGTTTTCTTCTCGGCGCTCAGGAATTGGATGGACTCCGGGGGAACGCCGGAGCTCTCGTCCGTAAACACCAGCTGGGACCCCCCGAAAAAGCCGCGCAGGAAGACGCCGGCTTCAAACTTCGCGCGGCGAGCCTGCGAGAGGTCGAAGGACGGGCTCCGGGTGGCAGCGTGGAAGCCCTTGCAGAGGCCCCGGCATCTGGCCACCTGCTTCGCCGGCAGCCACGAAAGGATCTCGGTCCACATCTCGTCGGGTAGGTTTCTGCAGTCCGTGATCGAAGAGAGGAGGGAGGTGGCGCAGGGCTGGGAGAGAAGGGATATAAGAAGGCGAGATAGTTGCTTTTTCCCGCCAAAACCTGTGAGTCTTATACCTTGCGGGAGTAGGAGGGTGGCGGGAAATTTGAAAAACACGGCTGCACGAGGACCAAGGATGCTTACAGTTTCCCCTTGCTCTTTTCCTGCCCGATATTACCTTCCCTCCCCGCTGAATCCTTCGTCTTGCGTAACAGATTGGCGGGATCAGAGAGAGAGAACGGAGAACGGAGAGAGAGAGCAGAGAGAAAAGTCAGAGAGAGCGAGGAGAGAGACAGAAACGGAGAATTTCTCTCTCTTCATCTCTCCTCGCCCTGGTTGTTGTATCTCCGCGTTTTTCGTTCCTTCACGGTTGTCCTTCCTCGCGAACCGGGAGGGAGAGAGTTCTGTGGAACGCGACCAAGAGAGCAACAACCGGGACAGAGAGAGGGAGGGCGGAAGGAGGGGAAGGCGGGAAAGAGATAGAGATATACGGAGAGAGAGAGAGAGAGAGAGAGAGAGAGAGAGAGAGAGAGAGAGAGGCTCGAATGGTGAGCGGGAAAGTTGAGAACCGTTGGCAATTTCAGATGGGGCGAGGTGTAGGCACTAATAGCGTAGGTTCTTCTGAGGCAACCGGGGCGGGGGCTAATGGGCCAAGAAACTGGGCCATCAAGCTCATATCCCTTCGAGAATCTGCCTCAACCCATTACGGAAACACATCGGATAAAAAAACCACGGACAATAGGAGAATATTGGTTCATATGATATTGGTTTTTTCCACGAAGACCCAGTGTGTGGAAGCTTCATGGCCTCTTGAGAAGGGCCTCAACCAAGGGGTGGGTGAAATTCGAGAAACTCAAGCCGGAAATGAGTAAGATGATAGGGGGAATTGATCTGAATATTATTGTCAATCGTATATAGTTTACATCATAGGAAGCCACACCTCAGACGCTATAACTATCACAGCAATAAAACTATGATAATTACAACTAGAAAATGATATTTACATCCCATCAGATATTTTAAATTTTATTTTCATTTTTAGTCAATAATTTGTTAACATCATGCTATTTTAAGGCAATTTCACGCCTTTGCAAGAGAAAAAATGTTCAAGCCAAAAGACTATGTGAAAATAAGAGCATAGGCTTATCGCTCCTTGAGGAGCTCGAAGATTCTACGCTCCTGGGACTCGGTCAACTTTCGCGAGTTATGTACTTGAACAAGTGGAGCATAATACACCTACCCTTGACCAAAAAATTCATCTTAAAAGAATGAGACACTGTCATTTTGTGTCAAAGCTCAAAGGATTTGACGAATTGCTCACTTATGTAATAGCCCATTTACCCATATTCTAAATAGCATCATCTTGGGCTTATTCCATGCGGACAATTTACCCCCTTTTCTTCCTCTATCTGGATGGCTCCTCTCCTCTGCTTCTCCTCGACGCCATTTCCTTCTCTTTCCTCTCTCTTTGATTATCATGATATTAGAACCACCTATTACCTGAATTACTTCGCCTCGATCCACCTGTGTTGAGGAGAAGCGTGGTGACTTCGTCATCCTTGTTTCTATATCACCTTTGTCTAGTTTGACTTCTTTCAGTCACTGCATCTCATCATATATCCCCTTGTTCTTTGTTTCTCACGACCACATTGCAATACGCTTCACTCTATACATACCAAGTAGTAAGTAAATGAAAATATATATTAGTCTCAGCGATCTTGATTAATCATTGAAAGTGGATGATCTCTTCTTAGTAATTCAGGAAGACTCAATTGACGCTTAATATGTTGAGCATTAGTTCTTTTCTGATATTGAGATCATTTTCTAAATCCAACATTAGTGAATATCTATTTAAACTTATTCTCGTATTTTCTTTGTTGGATATAAATGGATTCAATTGATGAACTAAGAGCTATTAGTACTCAATTAAATGTAAATAATAACTCATACTGGAGTCATGTGATGATGTACTTTTTACATGGAAAAAAAAAAAGTTGTGGAAATAAATAGATGGGACATCAACTATGCCTATTAGACCCCAAGTTGAAGACAAATCCATTTTAACTATATTTGATCGAATATGATCATCAAATGAAATATGGCATCTGAATAATTATAAAATCTTTATATGACTTAAGAACTGAATCATAATTAAAATCATAGAGAATAGGACCACATTGCTTTATATGATATGGGTTTTGTCCAGAAAGGCACAATGTGATGTACCTTCATCTACCCTTTAGAAGGATCTCACCACATAGGTGAAAAGTCAAGCAATTCACCATTGAAATCAATAAGATTAAGGGGCGAATGGGTGTGATAATACAAAGTGTGCTGCTAGCATTGTCAATCTTATATAGTTTACATCCTACTAAGCAATACCTCTGCTATTATAAGCAACAAACCTACAAAAACTATGGCTACAAAACCAGAATAAAATCCCACCGTAATCATTAAGATCATTTTAGCATGCCACGTCATATTAATGCACAATTTCATGCCTTTCCAACATGAACAATATTTCAAGACAAATGCCCAGGTGGAAGGAAGAAAATATGCTTATGGGCCTCTAGGCAGTTCTTCCACATACGTAGGCAAAGATTCAAGCCTCCTAGGATTCAAACCTCACTTTCACTTGAGAACTATATACATCTACCCTTGACTTTCACTTGAGAGCTCCTTGCAGTGTTTCCTCCATTTAATACCTTGCCTTTTCCGACGGGGAGGTGTGTGTGTGTGTGTGTGTGAGAGAGAGAGAGAGAGAGAGAGGGAGAGGCTTGATGGAGGGAAGGAAAGTCAAGAACCTATTTTCTTTTTATAAATCTAAATAATGATCCAATATTCCAGGTCTCTTGGATATTTTCAGAGACGATCCTTTGGAAACAACTAGGCCATCAGTCAAGAAATCCGATCTAGCACCTGCCTGGACCCATTATTAAATCTTCTCCCAATTAAAATGCCATATGATGAAAAAACCATACACAACATAGAGCGATATTGCTTCATATGATATCTCGATTTTGTCCACACACAGCCAATCCGTTGAAGCTTCAACGGCTGATGAAAACTCAGCTTGGAAATCAATAAGATGAACGCAGGGCTGCATATAATAATACAAAATAGGTTGTTAGAATTGTCAATCATATATAGTTAGCATCTTAAAAGGCGATTAGCCACAATGACCTTGAAAATAATGAAATTATAATCATTATGGCCAGTAATCAATCGAGAAAATGATCTAAATATCCCACCATAATCAGAAAGTGAACTTATACGTTTCGTCACATAATCAGACAACATGAGACTATCTGAGCATGCCCCCCCTCAGATTTTAATGCTTTTCCACATGAACGGCATTGAAGTGGATACAATCTACGAAATGGGTGCTGAGTAGATTAATCCCATGCGTAGAACCAGATGGCATGCAAAGAGCATCTAGATGATACCGTTGTTTCCATTGGCGTCATCGTTCTTGAGCTGCTTGGCGGTTCTCTCCTTCCCAGGAACATGAAGACCCAGGAACAGCTGAATCGTCCTCCAGTAGCGATCCCCGCCGGAAAGCCATGTGTCCATGTGCATGCCAGAAGGGAAATCAGTGAATAGGCATCGGTCGTTTTTCTCAGCTGCTTTGGCATGCAGCAGCTGCATATGAGATGGGGGAACCATCTCGTCTTGTAGACCAGAAAGGAATAGAATGGGTTGTTTGACCTGCGATTTCAGCACGGAGTCAGCTCTAAACGGCTAAAAGCCTAGTAGCAAAGAAGCATGTGACGGATGAGAGGTCAACTCCCACCACCCCGGACCACAAAAAGAAATCATAGATGGATTCACTGCTGCTCATTTTTCGCCTATATAAAAGACTATACTTCAAACATTCAATAACATGTGCCATATAAGATGAGAGCTTAGTGCCGTGCAGCTTGGTGAAATCAGAGGAATGTCGTTGATAAAGCACGTTGTGGCAGATGGGACTGAAGTTATCAGTATCATTACATTACTCAAGAAGGAATGATAACTGATAAGAAGTTGACCATCCCATAGGACATGAGAGGGCTAAAACAGTCATCTACCAACCTATAATTTGACTATTTTTCGAGAAACTAAATACAGGATACTAATTTACCTGCCCAATAACGTCAACAGTGTTCCATGGGGAGCGCACGAGGAAATTAAGCATTCTTGGACCCTTTGATCCACTGTGGCCAATAAACCACTTCAAGAAGGGAAGCAAAACACCAGCCATGTCAAGAATCGAGGTGAATGTATTCTCCAATATCAGACCAGAGACCTGAAATCAAATGGCGACACCACAATAATCTGGTTACATCAAGGAAAACGAAGTATGAAATTAACGATGACCTATCTTAACAAGGGAATTAAAAAAGACTTTTTCAGATGAGGAAATCTGATAATCCGACCTTGTACCATTTGACTACTGAACACAGGTTTCACTTCTTGAAACTATGATATATATGATGACAAAAAAACTCTGCATTATTGATCAACAAGTTACATTTCGATGTTCCATCCTTCAAGAAATAAGGTGTGAAGCCTATAACATATTTGTATTTGAAAAACTGGTGTCGCCAGGTGGCCAGACCTTTTCCTCAAAATCTTCAAGTTACAATGGTAGACTTGGGGTGTCGGAAGATGGCGAAATTCCCACCTATGGCTGAGATAGTCGGTCGACTCCCTCCCCCTTTGTTAGGGGGGGTCTGGAGATTAGAGAAAAATATAAAGTCAATGGCGTCACCACGCTATTATCAACCCTTCTTGGAGTTTTTGCATGCTACCTCTTGACAGTCATCAGTAAGAAAATAAAATCATCGACGCCACAAGGGACACGTTATTTGAACAGAAGAAACCAAATAGAAAGACAAGCACCACTCATTTTCCTTTCTCATTCGGATTCTCTCTTTGAACAACACAACCAAAGAAAACTTGTTGCAAAGCCTGCCCAGAAGTTCCCTATTTTCATAGGCATAAACCATCTGTTTACCATAAGCGCTGACCCAGTTTTTCTTTTACTGAAAATACAAATGTGTCAGATTCAGAAGCAACACATTATAAGACGCCATAACCTGTCTGATCCACAAGAGCAACTCCTGCGTTTCAAAAAATCGTGTAGAAGCACTAATCTTTGCCAAACCAATTTTTAGATCACCATAGACTCAAAAAAAGACTCAAACTTTTGTTTTTCTTTGGCATTATTAGAATCCAGTTGTGACCCTAGCTTTCTAGCTTCTTCCCTGGCTTTAAGACTGAGTATCACCTGTTCATGCTTTAGATCCGAGAATGAATTCTAGCTTTAGAATCCATATCTATCTCCCTTTGTGCCCCTATGAAGGTTCCTGATATCCATGAACCACAACTATATTTCGAGAACTTACAGTCTATATAATCCCCTGGTGTTCAGTTTTCGTATCAAGAAAAAGATCAAGATTAGTTTCATTATGATACAGCACAATGCACAAAACATCGTACTAGAAGAATCAAATGAAAAAAAAATACCTTGTCGGGGTTGTTTCTTGCAAGGACTGCTCCAACTGCGCCACCAAGAGATCTTCCAAATACAACAATTCTTGACGTATCAATATCGGTCCTTTGCATCAGATGGTCCAAAGCGGCCTGGGCAATGAAAAACAAACTTGAAAGCCTGGATATGATTCAAAAGACCAATACAGGAAATTAAAATGGGGATAGGTATCAAACCTGTGCATCTTGAATAATTCCGTGTTGAGAAGGGAATCCATCGCTTGCACCATATCTATCATAAAAATACAGACATCGGCACATGATTGACATAACGACCTAAAGGGAGGAAAGATATGTAGAACTGCCAATGATGCCACGCACAAGGTGTCATATCGAACGAATACCATACCCTCTGTATGACAGCATAAAGGCATTGCAGTGTAGCTTCTGGAGCATTATGTGAATGAATTCAAGACGATGTGCAATATCTACAGTTATGCTAGTTAAGGCCCACAGAAGTAACTGGGAAAAGGAGGAATTATCAGATCCACGATAGCCTTTTGGAAAAGATCATCAGGATACTACCAGCATTCTCCTGGAAGAAAATAATCGTTGGCCCTGCAATTGAATTGAATCATTATTATCTTTCAAACAAACATTGTGTCCACAGACTCCAACAACAGGCATTCAACTAGTTTACACATAATTAAGAACTGAGGCATAAATAAATCAAATCGGAATCACTCTCATACGACTACAGTGGAAATACGTGGCCAACGAAACTCAACGAGTAGTCTGATGACTTGGCCAAAATCGGTAATCAGCGTCACTTCTGGACATCAGACCTCCTAAGGAGAGAGGAAAGCAAGCACATACAGGAAAAATGAAGCAAGAAAACAAAGATTTTTTGTGGACAGTAACTTGCGCCACATGCTAAATCATGGGAGTATGAATGGGGAGGAAACAGAGAAAAGTTGATGATGAAGAGCAAAGGAAGATTCCATCAGTTGGACAAGAAGATAAGTAATGATTTTGGGGAAGGGAAACTCACAGGATGGATCAAAAGGGAACATTTGTCCGGCCTGGGTATTCTTACCATGTAAAACAAGTATGTTCTGGGGGATGTGAACAACCCCGGAATAGTGCATAGCTACTTCTATTTTCGCATGCTTACGTGATGCCCCAATTTCTCTGAACCAGCTTTTGTTTTAAATTTTTTTCTTCCGAAAAGCAGTTCTCACTATTCTGGCACTTGCAGCTTCTAATCATGGGGTAGAATATCAGTAGTTAAGTTAAACAGGAAGACGTGGTGGGGGTGTTCTGTGTTCTCATGTGACAAAGCTAAGTTCCTGATTCAGTGGTCGCATGAAAATTCATATTCTTAGCAGTCAGAGTTAACAAAAAATCATTTTTCTACTTAGATTCATTGACAACAAAATAATCTGGAGGATAACTAGTGAAAGGCACTACGAAGGTAGCTGCATCAAAACAACAACCAATTAGTGATGCTACGGGTAATTTGAAACTTCGGGGTAGCCAAGGCCCTGATAGGTTTTCAATGTTTCGCTGACAAAACTTCTGGGTTGCTAAAAGAGGGTCCATATTATCCTTGAGCTCAACACGAGAAATACACATCTTGAGGGCATTAACGACCATTTTTCTCAAAGAGTGAAGGACCAAAGCGGATTAGGGAGAACTAACCAAGTAGATTGTTGCATGGAGTTTACAGGATATTAACAAGATGTTAGCATCAAGAATGGCAACAGTGATATGCAGACCTGTGGTAAAGAACCATGTCCTCTTCACGCTGTGGACAATTAGTCAAGAAAGATCATCGCTCATAAGATAATGCTTCGTTTGAAAGAACCTAGTGCTTAAAGGCATGAACTGCAAGGTGTTGGTGGGGGGAGGAGGGGAGTGGTGTTAAAGCCTTTTTATTTATTTATTTGCTGAGGATAAAAAATAATGCAAGACCATTTAAGAGATACGAAAGAGTTAAATAGAGCTCGGAAACGCAAGTAGTGAATATGATGATAAAATCACCTACATTGATTCAGCCCCATTTTTCAAGGGTATTCTACAACTTTTGGGGAGGTTGTATACTGTGTATGTTCCAAGGATATAATTTACACAGTGGAGAATAGAACAGCATTCCGTCACCTCATCTCTAGAAAAGGGGTTTTTGGGATGGCACAGACTGTATAGCAAGTGGATTTGGGAATCAGGGATATTGTAATAAGATGCCGAAATTTTCTATGCTGTCTTCCAATGGAACATACAGGTGATTTCAGGATTTCTCAACTGAGCTAGAGATATAGGACGGACTATGTGGCTCCATTTCGCCGTGTCTCATTTTGATCTCGCTTAATGATTGCTGTTTTGTGATCATTTGGATCTATCGTTTCATTCGTAAAAATGATATGCAGCCAGACAGCCAGACAGCCAGTCCAGAGACCAGAACAGCAGTGATTATCTCGACGGGCGCTGACACCCATATGATGTTCCTCAATGCGAGGGGCGTCACTGGAGCCCTAGGCTATCCCGCCGCCATCAAGCTCCCCACTCCCTAACCGAGCATTCTTCAGGAAACGAAGGAAAGACCGTAAAACCCAGTTCCGGTAATTCACCACTCCGTCAGGAAACGTACAGGTGGCAAACTTCAAGGAGGATAGCGGCGACTAAACCTACCACTGGAACGTAGGGAAAAAGCAGGAAGTAGAATAGCGCAGCAATTAACAAAGGGAACACGAACAAGGAACCATGGGGGATGATCCAGGGGAAAACTGACCTGTGCACTCCGGTACGTACTGAATAAACCAAGCGTGAAGGCGAACGCCATCAGAAGCCCGGAGCCAGACGTCCTCATACTTTAGTCGCAGGCGGGCGGGGGTGATGGGGTAGGACTTGGAGAGCCCCGGAAGCACCGGCACGTACACCAGTCTTTCTTGGAAAGCAATAAGCAGCGCCATCCCCACTGCCATCATCCCCCCCACCCCATACACCAGGAAGTGCAGGTACGACAGCATTCCTTCCTTCTTTCGCTGTCCTCTCCTACTCTCCACTCCTCGCCCTCTTCCTCGAGATCCCCGAGATTCCTCCGGGAAGATGCAGGGGGAGAGGGGGAGGGAGAGGACGAGGCCCTGGAGCTGGGCGATCGCAGGGGAGCCCGATCTTTCCTTTCCCTCTATCAATGGTGACGCCCAAATCCCGTAAGAGTGCGTGAAAAAAGCACTGAAATTTTCTCAGCCCGTAGCCAATGGTAGTGCGCCGCGCATACAATTCTTCATGTCGTTTTCCGCCACGCACGATTCATGCCACGTGGCTAATGGAAAAATTGTTCACTGTCAACTCTGGCCCCACTAAATATCGTGCCTTCAACGTAACCAGACTTCTTCCCGCCCGTAAGCCCTTAAACAAACAGGTGTTGTGTTTTCGTTAGTGGGCCCCAGATCATGCCAGAAAACGACAGGCCCATTCACCATTAACTACCCTACGACGTCACGAAATTCGTAAATACGAATAATCGAATAAATTGCCTGAAGTGGGGCCCGCAACCTGGTGCCGCCATCTTTGAAGCTGCCGCGTCAGCCCACTATCTCCGTCAAGAAGGTCAACTGCACAGGGGTAACTGGCGCGCCGTATACGTGTCCGAGATGAGGATCTAACACCAGCCACGCGGACGGGCCCAATAAGATGGAACCGTATAATTATAAATATTGGAATAATAGGCAAGAGGGTTGTTTTAAAATTTGTGTTTCCAGATTTCTGGCCAAGTGCCTAATTTTTTTATACCCAGCACGTGAGAAAAGACTAGAAGACCACCCCACCTCAACCGGGGGAGTGTGGGTAAATAAGGGTATTTGTGTCCTATCCTCCTAGAGGTTAGCTGATGACCTTGGCCGATGTGGTAGTGACAGCCAATTACGAATTCACGAAAAAACTCGGAGTTTACCCTTTTATTACGACTTTTGCCACTTCACTGTTCTGTCTTCTCTCGGCCGTCCTCGTGACTAGGCGTAGTCTGAGGCAGAGATACACAGAGAGATAGAGCCAGACAGACACAGAGAGAGAGAGAGGGGGGGGGGAGAGTTGGCGGCGTTGGTAGAAGGGGGAGCAAGCGGAAGCAAGAGTTCCAAGAAAGGGAACATGCTACCTATTGAACAGGTCAAAATCTATTCCTATTTTACCCCGTCGTGGCCTCTCCACATGTTTGACTTTTGTGTCCCTTTGTTCTTATTCTGGCCTCTTCTGGGCGTACTCGCCGTCTCTTCGGCGTAATTCTACAGGCCATCTTCCCATATCCTTGCGGAATCTGGGGAATTGCAGCCCGTGCGGCCTTCTTGCCTTTTCTGTAGGTCCTTTCGTGATGATGTTCTCAGTTTGAGCTCCTCTTTTCCTTTCCGTTCCCTTCGCTTTTGGATATTTTATCTATTTTCCTTGCGGAGAATGATCCGTGGAATCAAGCCGTTTAACTTTGTCCGATTTGGTGCATGCTAATCCTGAACTCTTTCTCGTTATTCACCTCCTCCGTGAATCGTTATTGGAACAGTCTTGGCATTTCCCCTGTGCCCAAACCTACTGGGGAAACGAGACGACCCTTCCGGTCTCTCGCCTCCATGGGCTTCGAATCTGGGGATTTGCGTGAGGGGTGCCCCTTCTGCTCTGTGAGGGAGAGATATTACCTCTCTTTCCGATCGTTTTTATTTACGACGAGATAACTTGGAGAGGTGGGTGAGCTGCCATCTTCATCTTGTTCCACAACCTGTAGCCTGACAGCAATTTGAGTTAGCACCAAATCTAGTCGTCCTTTTGCGCGTTCTCCGCATCATGGAGGATGAATTGATTATGAGGCATATCTTCAGCACGATGGCTGTTGTCCCGCGCATATGTGACCTGCTGTTGTGCTAGAATCTGATCTCTCCGTCAGACCCTTTTTTATATGTTTAAGTACGAATAGATAATTGCTCTTTTCGACGAATAGATGAAGAGTTTCGTCTTTCTTCCCTCCCTTTGACGTTCTTAATCGATATCCGATCTTAGCATGTTGGACCAGGGGCACCCTGGAAAATGAACTCTCCCTCTCTGAATTAGGTGGAGACTCCCGGGAGACTTGAGAAACATTACTTGCTTGAGATCTTTTTTCGTTGAGATTAGGCTTTTTCTAGGTCAAAAGATATACTGATGTCCTCCAAGGAGTACCTGTTGCAGTGATTAGAAAATATTTGTATTTACGTCTCAAAGATTCTTATGAGATAGATTTGCTCACCACATTTATTCTCCGGGGCTGCTGTTGCTATCTTCCAATTTGTGGAGGTTAGAGAACCATCTGAGATTCATAGACGCATGACACCATGCACATCCATGTCAGCAGATATCGAAATGGCTCATAAATGTTTGAGATCTCTCATGATTGTTACTCGAGGCTGTAGAGAGATGAATGAAGGAGCCAGGGTACTTTGAAATCATGATGCAATGCCCTAAGCAGAAGAAGAATGAGAAGGGGAAAATGAGCTAAAGATGAGAAATAAAATTAGTTGCTCGCATCCGTTGCAGTTCTGTGCATATGATGTAGACTTCTACACTCATCAACGTTTGCCATCTTCCTGTGATGGCCTGATCCTTATTTGTGAAATCTTACGTTATGTATTAATCTTTCTTGATTTTTAAAAGATCCCATGGATTCCTAGTTATATCCATGTTCCTGTGAGGTTTTAATTATTTGTGGCATATAGAAATATCATAAATTTGTAGTTATGGAGTGCATTAAGCTCGTCCTCTCCTTAGATGTCCAGTTTTACCTGCTCATCCCTGCTGCGCTGTTTCCACGTGCCTTGGTCGTTTCATACATAGAATTTTTTTTCTTAAAACTCACATCACATCACATGCACTAAAATCTTTCAGTGACTTCAGTGGTTGCCTATTCTCTGCCAAAGTACGTTGTAAAGAAACAACTGCATCAAGTTGAGTTCAGATATCCTTTCCGTCTCCAGTCACTCTCTTGGAGAACATCTGAGAAGGTTCAGGAAAAATGCAAACCTCTTTGTGATAAAGGGTCGGATGAAATATTTTCCCGGTCAGCATTCTTATTCTACTATCATCTTCCTCTCTCATTGCAGTTCAAAGCAGGTCTCATATTTCGCTGTCATCTCTTTTCAAGATTCTCTCTATGGGCTCTCCAACATTATATTGTCTCTAAAATGGGCCTAAAGGGGCCATCACGTACAAGGCAAAGACTCCACTACTCTGCCAACCTCCAGGTCTCATCAAGTCTCTGTGAATATTGATCAGTGTTTTTCCTCAGTTCCAGGTATGTTATCATTGTTACGCAATCGTCTTCTCCTGGCTTGTTACAGGCAAGAATTTCGTAAAATCTTGCCATTTATTTACTTTTATTTCCATTTTTATGCTGAATCATTCTATTTAGAGCTATAGTTTTGTCACGAATTATGGGCTTTCAGATCAATATTACTTCCTATATTATTGTTATATATTCCCAATTATTATGTCTCAACGCACAGAATGTGAGGCGTTTTTTTGAAGGCGAGCAGCCTGTTCATAGTTTAAGGTTTACTGATAGATACTTCATTGTGATTCCTATTGTTTGCCACTGTATGATTCTCGTCCTGTAGCATGTACATAGAGACGAAAAAAGCTTAACAGTGCTTACTATCAAATGTCTGTGCTTTGTTGATGAATCTCGCTCATAGAAACCCCAGGAATGGAACTAGGATTGATTTAGTACATCAATGAGCAGTTACTTTTGCCTATTTTTGGCGAAGTTTCAGTTATTATCATTTGGCAATGTACTGTTACTTAAACTGATTTTATTTTTTTTTTACTTGAGTCAGTTCGGTGGAGAGTCAAAACATTTTGACCGGTAGCCTTGAAAGTATGCAAGTAAAATGATATATGGGCATATTTCTAATAAAGGACGCCAGTGCTAGAATATATTGATGACGGGCTCGAATACATTGGTCGTCAAAGACTTTTCGTTTTTATCTACGAGATCCTTCAGCATGTGACTAGACTCAGGCTAAAATTCTGAGATCGTGCTAGCTTCTTTTCTGGCTCCATCCTGGGTATTGGCCCAACAATCCAAAAGGTGGCTTGGCAACTCTATTTACTCTCCATTGCTTTCTTTATATCACCTTCAGGAGGAAAATCCGGTGTGCTGTGAATGATGGATTTTTACCTATCACAAGTTTTGCTTGTTCATTGGTATTCAGAGAAAATGCACTTGATGATGATTGAGTTTGATATCGTATTATATTGAGTTTCCTCTTTTGCGTTAGCTATTCTTCCACAAATCTTTGGTCAAATCGTGCTGTCCTCCTCCCCTCTCCCTCAATTTATTATTACTGCATTAGTAGGGCCAGTGGTTGGAATTTGATTTTTTATTGAACTTTTCATTTTTAAGGACATGAGAGTTCGTGAGGTTTTTCTCTGATGATCCAGTTTGTTCCTCTAGGTGAAGATAATTGCAATAGCAACAAAGTCGAGGATCACATAAAGTTAGCTATGCTACTGGGAACGTCAGAAGTTGTTTATCCTGTTCAGAAGACCGATTCTTTCCAGTCCGTTGTAGGTTCATGTCCTATGCTGGGAATTATTTGATTTGATAAATTTTTTCCATAGATTTTCCTTTCTGATATTACCATTATTGCGTCTAATGGCATCTGCTCACCATAGACATACATTCCATGCGCGTATATGGATCCATTTTATGGAAGTGGCATGGTTGGCTATGGGCCGCATTCAATGGTGAGTGCCTTCTACATTTGCCTCTTGTTGAATGCCCATAAGCTCTTTCTTCAAACTTTTTCCATTCCGAAAGAACAGATTTTGGGTGATCCTCTGCTGTTGATTGCTTGGTATGGAGACTAACTTGACGGAAATGTACAAATGAAACCGTGATAATTATGAAGCCCTTTACTCAGTAAATATTTAAGATTAGCTTCTGTGGAACTGAATGAACGTTGTGGCCCTTATATCATCACTCCCCACCGTATTTTTCCCATAGTTTTTTTGCTAATATCAGAAGATATTACTGTAAATTATCCGGTCAATATCTCTGTTTGGAGTAGCTTGACGAACAGCAATGCAATTGTTGAGCTACAATCATTTATAGCTTTCTTTGCGCCCTTGTGTGCGAATGGATGATTGTCGATGACTTCAGCCCACCCATCAATGTCCATTCAGCAGTGTTCTAATTGGAATTTCTGTGAAATAATGTTTATAGTTAGGAACAATTTGTTCGTTATTCTCCCTATATTCTATTTTTTGACGACTGTTACATGGTAGTATTTAGCTAATAATCTTACCCTTCTCATTTACTCTTCCAAGTAGTCTGCAATAGCAAACTTACTGTCTAGAAAGCCATCATCGGTTTGGAGAAATCTCTCTTCTCCTTAGCCTCAAAAGGAGAAGCGTGAAGGAGAAAAGATGGGTCAGTTTTACGTGACCCAGTGGCATTATTTATGGCAACCGTATGTGGAAGGGGAATTAAATTGTAATAAACGTACTGAATCTATCAGTTACCAAATTTGGGTGAGACTGGGGCGGGCTGAATCGAGCTGGGAAGGTCTGACCCATCCCACATCAAACTGATATCAAGCTGGCCTCCCTGCATGTCCCTTTTTTTCTCACTGTGTCACAGATTTGCTCATTCTGATGTTAACAGGTTCATCCTCAAGTAGGAGCCTCTGCGCCCTCTCGAGTGCCACTTCCCAATGAACTCTCGGAGGACGGGCCTATCTATGTCAACGCCAAGCAATATCATGCAATCCTTCGAAGGAGACAACTACGGGCCAAGCTGGAGGCCAAGAACAAACTTATCAAAGGGCGAAAGGTATGTGTCTGTGGGCGTTGGTTCTTTCTTAATCTTCCGGGTTTTAATCGGAACTTTCTTGATGCGAATAGTTTTTTGTTCCTGATGAACAAACGATCGTATTTTTTTTGTTTTCTTAAGGATTATTTCCTTGTAAACGAATTTATGGAATTATCATTTTAGATGTAGCTAAAAAAAAAATTAAAAAAAAGTCAGAGACAATATGCTCTTCAACCCGTAATCCTGATAAAAACCATGGCATTAAACCCTGCTCATAAAGAGAAAGCAGACTGAAAAACTACTTAAATATAGAATCTTTTCTGTTCATTGCCATTAAGTTTGAGCGGGGTGGCCCGATCCTTTCACATTTATTCATACGGTGATTCCCGGATCTTTGTATCATTCACAGCCGTACCTGCACGAATCTCGGCATCTTCATGCGATGAAGAGAGTGCGGGGATCAGGGGGCCGCTTCCTGAAGACGAAGAAACAGGAACAACAACAGCACTCGGTTGCCGCCGCCGCTGCATCGACGACGGACAGCGAGGTCTCGTCCTCCCCCCTGCTGCAGCTCGGCGAGAAGCCCGGCTCATCGGGCTCTTCCTGTGCTGGCTTCACCAGCGACTCTCACGGGAACGTGTTCCTCCCACCGGAGCCGTTCGGGTTCCCCTCGGAGTACACTTCCCAGCAGCGGGTTTCTGCCATCAGGTGAGCTCACCCCTCTAATCAGGAGCGCTGGCTCCCCTGGGCAACTCATCCTTGGCTTTCTATCCTCCTCTGTGGCCTTCACTGGTGTGGGACTCTCACTTCATTCTGAACTCCAACCCCCTCCCCCCAACGAACCCAAATCGCTGCTTTCTATCTCTCCCTAGTTCCAGTTGGATCATTCTGTGAGCGCTCTTAATGGAGATCGGTTGTTGAAGGGAGAAAGACTGGCAATAAAAATAATTATCAGGAATCATCCGGTATAAATAATTACAGAAGCCCGCAGGAGTGGACGGGGGCGGGGGCGGGGGCGGGGGCAGGGAGAGCCGTGGGGAAAATGATGAGCTGACAGAGATGCTCCGGAGAGATTAGCAGCAGCTATATATTTACTTCCTTGACGTCATTCTGGCCGAAGGGAGTTCCGCAAGCAGGGCATTTGCGGTGGCGGATCTCGAGGTTCCTCTGGATGCAATTGGAGCAGAAGAGATGGAAACATTTGGTGATCACGACCTGCGAATGGCAGAGCCGAGCTCATCGTGTCAGCAACCATGGTGGTTCTGCTGGGGACGATGTGCATGGTTTTGCATGGTTAGTGAGACGGGGCTCACCTGCTTTGGGCGGTCGAAGCAGACGCCGCACTTGAGAATGGCCTTGCATTCCTTGATCTCGTCTTGGAGCCTCTGGGTCGCGGCGGCCTCGTTTTCTGGGCTCATCCTCTCGAGCAGGCTCGTCACCCGCTCGAGCTCTTCCTTGAGTTTCTTCCCTTTGGTTCTGCCGAGCAGACGTTCGCATTATGGATGTGTAATTCTGCAGGAAAGACAGAAGCAAGGAATGCTTTCCATGGGGACGGACGCCCCGTGTACCTCTCGTCGTCAAGGTCCGTGCGGAGCTTGGTAGCCTTCTGCTGGTTCTGCTCGAGTTCCTTCTCGGAGGATTCGAAGGCGGACTTCAGCCACTTCAGATCCTTCTCGGTCTCCACCAGTTCGAGCCTGGTTTTTTCTGTGTTCAAGGTGAGATGCCTGTTTTCCACAGAAACCTTTTCAGCTTGCGCAAGAAGAGTCTTCATCTGCGTGAGCAAATCAGCCGTCAGAGAGAAAGAATCACTGAGCATGCGAGTTACAAATCGTCCAAAGAGAGCAAAGATTTAACTGGAAACCTGGTCTTCGCCATGAGAGATCTTTGCTCTCACGAACTCTATCGACGAAGTAGCCTGCTGGAGTTGCTTCGCCATGGCCTGCTTCTCGGAGAGCAGAGAGCCGTGCATCTGCCTCATCTTCACGCTCTCAGAAACCAGCTGAGAAAGACAAAAGACCAGCCATATTGCGATTCAGGACGAGACCCGAAGAATTTTAAGCCTAGTGCTTATGTTGTGCCTTTGAGACCATGCAGCTGTGAGCTATGTGAAAGGTCTTTGATGAGAGGCACTAGCCAGCTATGTGACCACTACTTTTCTCCAGGGATGAAGGAATTTTGGGCACATGGGGATCCGACACGACCCAACCCAATACAAATAAATGGAAATCTGATCTTCAAAAAAAATATTTATATAGATCTATGATTGGCAGTGCAATGGTATAAAGAAATTAGCATATAAAACAAGAATTTTTCATCTGGTTGTTCTTGTAAGGTTCCATCGGCCCAGTCCGTCTCTCCAGCTTTCACGATGTTTAACCCAGAATAAATCAGTCGACAAATTGGGTTGATGTTCCATCGGCCAAATTATGCAAAAATCAGATTCTCAACGGAATCTAAATGGATCTTGGTCCCCTGATTCCAAGGGTAAATTAAAAGAGCATTTGAAACTAAAAAGGAAAAAATAAAAGGCAAACACGGATCACTCGCAGTAAATAAATCAGTCGATCTCACTCGGGTTGGCTGGTTAGCACCCGGATTAAGCTATGGAACCAACTACCAGATGAAAAAGAAAAAAAATGAAAAAAAAAAAGGCAGAACGCCTTCATACCCCCACCATAATGGCTGGATTGGGGTACCTAGAAAGAAGTAATTTTTAAGGGAAGAAAAACTCTGTTCAGAAGCTTTGTCATTCTATATAAGCTACATTAAAAAGGCAATCCGATCATCGAGGCGGTTTTCTTAACCAACCTTATGCCATTTGGCCATGATTGTACACTGTGCAATTGATCAACCCCAGATCAATTAGGGATCGTAATGGTGTGATTCGCCCTATAGTAGGGAGATGCGTTCAGGTATACATCCATGTCAAATCTCCACTAGAGGGCGTCATATGGGCACGTTTTTGAGGTACCTTCGGTAGTTAAGAAGTATAATGGTTTGATCGGTAATCTACTTCATGCTTTCATGTTTAAAAGAAGGGCTCGTTGATTTCAGAAACTAATCCTCGGTGTTTCGGGTTTGGAAATCATTTATTTGAGAACACACATGCAAAGCATATGAATGATCATCATCTTACAGCCTTTTCACATTTTTTTCTGTGGAACACGTTTATGGTAGCATTCATCATACCTCCAGAATATCCGATTTCATATAATACTTTTTTAAAAAATATTTTGTATTGAAAAAGCAGTCGACGTTGTCTAACTTCGAGATCAGTCATAGTGGCGAACCATAGTGGTTCCCTCCGTAATTCTTTGTCAATAATCTTTAAGGGGAAAAAAAAAAGTAAGCTTGGATAATGGAGGAGCAAGGAAAATAATTACAAAATACCTTTATATTATAATCATCTCTATCCACAACCTGCTGCTGTAAATGTTGATTTTGTGTCTGCATATCTTCATAGGCTTGCCCGATTGTCTGATAAATCGAGGATGAGATTAGAGTAGCTAGTTTATTTTAGCACTATGAAAAAAAAATATACCTCAATTTCAGAAATGTAGGCAGCTGCTTCAGCATCCTTAACTATAATTGCCTCTCGAAGCTCCAGTAACTCCCTGCAAGAAAAAAATATGTAAGCATGGAAAGAAGAAAATAATGGACCAGTACGCCGTTGCTAATTAGATGGCAATGGAAGCGAAGATCGCATTCCAATAATTTGAATCGCCAACAACTCAATGATCATCAGGTCAATGAATGGCCTTCGTTTATACATAATAATATAGTTATAGAGATCGGATACATGAGAGGGAGTCTTCTTCAGAACAGCAGGACTAGCAAAAACGTTTCAGGGGTTTCTGACACCATACTGTGGGAGACCAATGAACGACGATGAAAAGCTACAATACACCGATAAAAGGACAAGAAATGACTAGTTACCAAGATACAAATAGCGATGCGTTGAAGAGGCGAGAATCAAACATTGTTGAGGAAATGGAAAATCAAACGAAGCAACAATAAACTTGCAATCTGAAGAGGAGAATGGAAAGCTCAGAGTAGATGTTGGGGCAAATGTATCCATCATGGCAGATAAATCTTTTGTGCGATGAGGTTTGTTTGAAGATATGGGACCTAAGTCAGCCTTAGACATAATTGTTTTGTACGGGTGATGGGGGGCCATACTACTCGAGTCTCATCAAGGAAAAAACAACTTTTGCTAATCTCAGTATTCAAGTCATTGTCCGAATAATCTCAATTTTCATCCATGGCTTGTCCTGATCTGAACAACATAGCCAGACATAGAGAAGTATGGGGCAATACTTCCCATCGCCAAGCAAAAGAACACTGGCGTCTTGCAAAGCAGCTCAGTTCAAGTTTTACATATGGTATGGATTTATATGAGTCTAACTGGCTATTTTTTAATTCTTTAAGACATTGAAAGAAATGTATGGAAAACAGCTGACTTATTCAAAGCGTAAGAAATTCATATAGACGACAATGAATTAGATTGCAGTAGAATGCTAACATACTTCATTACATATGTATATTTACATGTAATAAAACAACAGTCAGCCCACTAACACATCAGTGTATACGTAAGTATCTACATATCTATGGAGGCAGCTCAATGCAAAATTTTACAATCACTAGACAACTTCCAAGAATATTTTTTGTACAACAATATAGAGATGCAAAGATCAAATATAAGGGAAGTGAATGACTAGCCAATAGGCATAATTTTAACCGCGAACACTTTATCTGATACAAAGCTAAAAACTTCAAGTGCGTGAAGCTAGTCAACAACCTCTCAGAGGAGTCCAATTTTTCTTTTAAGTCAGCTATTTCAGCTTCAGCAGCACTGAGTCTTTTCTGGCAAGCCAACTCAGCCTCATTTGCAGCTTTGACCCGCAATTCAAGATTATGTTCATCCAGAGCACTTCTCAACATTTCAGCTTGCATATGAGCTCTGTGCTCTGACTCTTTGATTTCCACGATTGTTCTACAAAATAAGACAAATTATGAGTACGAAAATTGAGGATTAAGTCATACTTTTGTCATGCTGAACACAAACTTGAAGGATTTCGTGCTTATTACAGCAGCTTAGTCAAATAGTGAAATTTGATTAAATACTGAGCGCATTCACTTAAAGTAGCCATGATATTTGGCGTTTTAAATCAGTATGAGCATAAAATAAGGGGCAAATCTCAGCGAATCCATTTCGTAACTGGAGTTTTTTTATCAAAAAAATGTCAAATAATTAAAAAATGAAACTGTGAGACGGTTAAAAAATTATCTGGTATCCAAGTACTTTCGAGAAAAGAAGAGTCTGATGCCCTGGCTGATCCCTCTCTAGAAAATAAAAGAGAAATGTAAACCTGAAGACATACCGATTGTCAAAGCACTCTTGTCCATACATATCAAGGATGTTCTGAAGCTCCTCCTTTTCCTTTTCAAGCTTATCAATCTACAAATATTACTTTATTAAGAATATGTAATAAATTACTAAAAGGTTAAAACTACCACAGTTTCCAGTGATACAGATGAGAGAGAAAAGAAAACATCAGACGGTCAATAAAAAACATACCAGCGCTTTGAGAGATTTTATCTCCACCATTTGTTCAGCACATTTATCTGATAGGGCCTTGTGTTCACCGGTCTAATAAACATAATATCACAAATAAGTAGGACCCATATCAACTTGTCGACTGAAATCAATGACAGAACATGTGTCCACATAATTACAGGATAGTACAAATTTCAAGGCAAAGAAAAGCCTTCAAAAGGGCAAACAGATTTGCTTCCTAGATGTCAACTATGTTCGCCAATGGATTCTAAATCCTGTTTCCCAGAAGTATACCCGTATGAGAACCTCAGGTCACAGAACTTTGTGCTACAAAAACGCGCAAATAATGATATGATTAAGATGGGCAACTGCATCGTACAACAATCACCAAGCAAAAGATATCATAAAATGAAAAGGCAATGGTCGGCACCCAATATCTAAAATTATATATGCCTTAAAGAATAACTAACGGGGGGACAACTGTCTGTCCTAGAAACGAAAATTTGTTCGACATCCTATGAAATATCACCAAGAGTACAAATGCAAAGCCACATTCGGCAAAGAAAAGAAGGGGAAAAACTCAATTCAAAGAACACTTAAATGCATATTTTAACCAAAAAACGGGATTATTATTATATCTGACATCACAGTTACCTCCACATTTCCCACAACACCATGGAGCGTTCCTCTTTTCTACTGATGAAAGAATCGCGTGTGGACATCAACCCCTAACTGAAAAGGAAACCATTTCACCATGTCTTCTTGAATTGCTTTCACTCCCCACACATTCCTAGGGCACTAGAACTCATTATGGAAACCACACGTCACCACCTTCTCTTGCTGTTTGTCTTATCCTCATTCACACAGTTCGTCAAACCCTCACTCCAAATGTCATCACGCTGCAATCACAGCAAACCTACCAACATTTCCGAGAACCTTCCTACGAACTGTTCAGGCCTACAGTTACCCCTCACCTGCACCAACCCGAAGCTAATGTACATCACTCGGTGTAAGAGAGTACTCCCCAACTAGTTTGCCACGGGGAAATCATGTCATAACTAACAGTATGCCTTCACTCGTGAATATGTTATTCAATGTTCAGGTTCACCCCAGCAGTCTAACAAGGGATTCCCATGTTCCTCTCCCCTCTCACTTCACCCTTGAATGGGAGAAGCCTGAATATTTCCCTCCTCTAGAAATATAAATTCTTTATGCGTTCAGGGGATTGCTAAACATTTCCAAATATGACCCACCTTGCTATTATAGTAACCTGCCTCTGAAGTACCCCTCCCCTATCTTTTGCTTCCCCATGACATCCCTCTCCTCCATGCCTCCCTCTCTGTACATTTTGGAAGGCACACCCCCCATTCTTTCTCCCTCCGCGCCTCACCAAGTAGCTTCCTTTATCTCTCCCTGAGTTACCACTCTACCTTTCCTGCTCGTAAAATGAGATTTTATGGGAAATTTAAAATGCAGCTCTTTCCATCCCTAATAACTTTCATCAAAACATGATAAATAAGATCTACCCTGAAAACGGCAAGGATGATGGTCACAAACCTTTGTCTTCAGTAGAGCTTCCAGAGAAGAAGCTTCCTCACGAAGTGAAACAGCTTCACGAGCTGCCTCCATGCATCGATTCAACTGCATCTCCATTAATTCCATTTCCCGGGACAATGCGGAAGCCATGACATGGATCTCATCTTTAAAATCTTTCCTCCCTGAAAAGTCCCAATGGATTTTAAAACCGCGTCATAAGAAGAGTGCACAATATCCTTAAAGGAAGATCAACCACATAGAGTCAGCCAATCCCAATTTGGTCAGATTGGATCAAATTTGGCCAGATTGTTAACAGTTTTTAAATGGATTGATCACTTGATCTAGCCAGTCTGATCTGACCCATGAAGCTGACAACCCATGAATCCTGTACAGCTTCTTCGAGTTTGATAGCAGTGTACGAATCTTCTGAATTTACCTGAATCCTGTACAGCTTCTTCGAGTTTGATCTCAATTTCATTTCTTTCCAGAATACACTTATGAAGTTGAAGCTCCAGCTCTTCAATCTTTGCATTAGAAATGATAATAGCATTCCTAGCAGCATCAGCCGAATCTGCTTTTGCACCGAGTTCCTTCTCTCTCCTTATCATATGATTCCGGTCAGCCTGAACATAAGTGTGACAATAAGCCTTCAGAAGAACATGACGAAGAGCAATAAGAACAAATTCTAGCAGATAAGCAGTTACCTGTAACGTATCCGCCAATCCTCTGCACCGTTCGATTTCTGTATTTAGGTGCTGCAATTTTTCATTCATGGCTAAGTAGGGTCTAGATACACTAACATGTCTGTCATCTCTCAACTGGTCCTGTACGCGCATGAAGTAACCAGATTGAAAAAAATTACAATGGAGACCTCAGAAAATGGAATTTATAATGAAGTGGAGAAACCAAGCAATCTAGGGAGAAAAACAGACCTTGAGAGCTTCAAGTTGTTTTGACATACTTGAATTATTTTCTTGGGCCTCCTGAAGTTCTGAAAGGCGAGCAGCTGCTAGTATCTGTGCAATTTACTCCCAGGGAAGAGTAGTACGGAATAAAAAATTAATTCCTCACAGTCAGGTAACATGTCATGCGGAAATCAGTAGAAAAAAATTTACATGAAAAAGTCTGGTAACAGGATATACCTTAGCTTCCTCAACAGAGTTTTTTAACTCCCTTAAGCTAATATTTTGCTTTTCTGGTGAGCTATTACCATTTACGGCAATAAATGTTGGAGAGCTTATTCTACACATTCCATCCTTCTGCATTTTTAAACTAACCACCTTGCGTCGGGTTTCCTCGAGTTCTGCCATAGCTTCTTCCAGCTCACCTTTTAAATCAAAAATTGGAACCAGTGAGAGAGAAAAAAGTTTAAAAAGTAACGAACCATAGTGACTCCTTGATGTATGCAGATGTGACAAAAACAAAGAAGCACTGAGAGGAAAAAATGTTCTCAGGTCTTCATTACTTTAAGAAGACAACGAGAAAGATAAAATGAAGATACAGGTCGACATAAACTCTGCCAACAAACAAGCGAGCTGAAATAAACTAAATCATTAGTAACCTTTTGCAATACTGCCAAGAGAGACGGTCATTAATTAACAGAGGTCTCATACTGATATCATGTTCACTATTGTGAACCTATCCTTACCCAGATTAAGAGGGAAAGCAAAAAGAAACTACACAAAGCTGTTCTAAATTGTACCAGATAAAAATTTCGAGGGCATTAGGTTGGCACAAAATTGCCACATTGCGAGCAAAACTGTTCTGCATGACAAATACAACCCGGTCTGATTGAATGCCAGCCATGAGAAAGCACGAAAAAGAATATGCACTACTACGAAAATATATTATGACTTTCCTAAGCAAAAACCGTGGCAGCCGAAATACTCTCTTACGAAAATATGGGTTACACCGAGATAATTTGCCTCCTTTGCGTAATTTTTTGCTCCTTCTCATCATCCGAAGTTTCTTCAATGGAATTCAAAAATTGAATCTTGCAGGAGGAAAGGAACTGTCTTTCCTTATGATCGTTCCCTCTCTTCTCTACTCATCGTATGTAATTGTTTTATTCAGATCAATTTACCTTTTATTTTTAAAAAATCTGGATTATCAAAGAAATACCAAGAGCACATTTGCTCAACAAAGTTAACTCTGCATAACAGGTTCACACTCTAAATATGAGAATAACAAAATAGCATGTCTTTGGAACCTGAAAGACGCTTTATCTCAGACTGATCTCTTGCATGATTATCAACGTAAGCCTGTACCTCCTGCGCATACTCTTTATGCTTCTTGTGAAGAAAATTGATGACTGTGAGCAGATTTTTGGCCTCCTCTTTTAACAGAGAGTCGAGCTTCTGGAGTTGAATTAAGGCATCTGCCAGAATTAAATATTAAAATATGAGGTATGAGATGGGTATATTTGTTTGTTACATTTGCACACTTGCATCACCCTGGAAGAAAGAACAATCTTATCTGATAATCTCCTGACCTTCTGAAGACAAATTTCCATGTGCAGCTAATTCTAAGCCATCCAGTTTAGTTTGCTGAGCATCAATGGCCTCCTGAAGGCCCCTCATCAAAACCATTGTGGACGAATGGCGCACTGCAAGGGCTTCCTGAATATATTTGATGATTTCACTCTGTTTACTTTTTTCAATATTTTCTGCCTGTAGAAGTCGACAAAGAAATGTCTCCTCTGGAGGACACGATGGAGTGACTCCTAGAAATTTTGACAATAAAATAAATTACATTCATAGATCAGGGGATGAATTAATGAAAGACAAAGCCTGTATATATATCTAATAAGTGAGGAAACTACTGATCAAAACCTCTAGAGATATCTGCTTCGTCCAAAGCCTGTAGCCCACTGGGGTCTCCTCCAGCTAGTGTCTTGAGCAAAATCAAATCATCGACCAACTGCATTTATGGAGGAAAGTAAAATATAAATCACAGTGTAAACAAGAGATGTAAGAGAAAAAAAAAGTAACTTCAGAAAGACCTGATTCCAAAGCTTATTCACAGCAATCAATGTTTCATCATAAACATCCTGCTTCTCCTCTAATTCCTTGAACTTCTTTTCAAGCGCATGCGTTTCGCTTTTTTGGGCCTCTAAAAGCTGAACAAGTATTTGATTCTGGTACTGGAGTGCTGCTGCATCAACCTGAAGACACTAATGAATGCTTTAAATTTTGCCTTGCTATCATTGGAAATTCATTGGAAAAGAAATTTGTATTATAGAATAAAAGGAACTGAAAGCAGGCCACATTTCCTGTAATTTAAGAGTTCTTAGAGATAACTAGAGGTAGAAAGAAGAGGATTGGAGAATAAAGCACTTGACCTTTTAAGCAAAAGGCGATCACGAAACCAAGTAAAAGAGAGAAGGCTTGCAAAGATAAGACAGAAAAAATGGTATTAAGGTGGTAGAGTATTATGATAGTCCAAGATATCTTTGATTCAGCAGGTGGATGGTGATGATGTTTGCCTTCTAGAATGTGAAATACTCGCAAGTCCGAGAAGAGGATGCATGGAAACCACGAAGGAACCCAGTACTTGCTCTTGAAAGCTCATAAAAAATTAAACAAAAGAACCACGCATCTAGAGCTGTAGGCGACTAAAGGGAGGACAGTTCGTTCCAATGTTCAGGCACCTGCAAAAGTGGTCCTTCTTCGTCAGTGAGGAATATCTAAATATTTAAATGCCTTGAAAGGACTTCCCCATCTGATTTCTCGACGAAATAAAAACTGATAATGCATACAAAGAGGAAGTAGAAGCCTGCCAAGTCAAATATTCCAGGGGGAGGAGGCATGTTTGGATTCCAGACAACCGTGTGATGAAACAAAGACGCTAGGAGAGTGGCTTAATTACAACTAAATGGGGGAGTTAGTCCAATGCATCTAAATGCTCAAAGTTGACAATTTCTTATGCGAGTTATCAAAATAACTTGAACCACTCAAAGAGGGGAAAGAGGGATTCATATGCGGATAGCACCTGTCAAGGGAGAGTGTTGAGGAACCGTAGAAGCGGATAGCATGATTTTGTCTCATGGTAATTCCAAAAATAATCATTCAAAAAAAAAGGGGTACCTTGGATTTGGAAAAAAGATGAGCAACTTACACTATGCCTGACAGTAGCCAGCAGCAAAATAAAGGGGTTTTTTTACAGAAAATATGGTTACAGGAGCATTCCATTATTTTCAAAAAAGAGATAGGAGGGGAAAGGCACGTATGTAGCTGCAGGCTTTGAAAGGAAGCAAGAGTTTTTGTGAACAAGAAAAGCGCAGAACAAGAACCACTAGAATCGTAATGCAAAAATCGAGAACGGCAAGACCATTTGCAGATGAAAAACAGTGAAAAAAATGTGAGAAAGTACAAGAGTAACTTAAGTACTACAGGATGCAATAACTCTTTTCTTTCTGTCAACCAGCAACAAAATATGACTAACGCGACAGTTCTAGCAGGGAATGTCGCATTTAAATTAAAATCAGAATCATATAAATAGAATATGAAAACCTAAAACACTCACAGCCTAAGAAAAAAACGGCTGTCATGTGTTGACATGAACACCAATGTTTGTCGCCATATATAATTAAAAAAGATAAAAATAGAATATAAACAAGTATCTGTATGGATATAAATGTAATTTTTATATAAAAGTTATAATTTGGCTGTTATTCTATGAAAACCTCAGTGCTTACTTTTCAACGTCGTGGATGTATCTTCAAAGTTTACTGAAGTTCGAATCATAGTAACAAGCATCTTCCACTAAAAACCTTAAAAAATGCTAATCAATTCAACAAACCAAACACATATCAACACAATTGATTTGATGCTTTGTTACATATTTCAAAAATTATTAATGAAAATATATCAGCAGGACAAAGTGACACCATTTCAACCTAATTTCATTACTATGGATTACAAATGGGTTTAGCAACTTTAAGCCATGGAGTTTTAACAAGACTGACACCAGAAGTTCTGTTCGGGCAGATACATACGTGCTGTGTAACCATGAACTACATACATTGGGGGAAAACATTCAGCAGACTTTGTTTGTTTGAGCAGTTAAACTTGAGAAACATAACGTGAGAATCACATTTGATCTAGTTGAACGATACACATTCGTTATCTAGGATCCAACCTAGTAGTACTGACTTGTTAGGACCTGGTCCATTATTGCCTAGAGCCGGTTAATGGAATTCGAATAGGATTGACCATGTGATCGATCACTTTCTCTGCATCGGAAGCACTTCAATCACGAAAAAATATAGGCTTAAGATCTTCACGGGGCATCGATCCTCAACTTCTAAAGCCACCAGAACTAGGACCAGAAGATTCCTGGGTACTTCTGAGCCCCGTCTTATCAGCTTGAACTGTTTTGATGAGCACGCTCAACTACCTTTTTCCCATGTGCCACCACACACAAGAAAATGTCCCTAGATCCCATCCCAATGGTTCACCTTCGACAAACAACACAGAATACCCCACTGCGCATAGAAAAATAATAACAATAACCGAAGGACTAATAATAATAACACCAAGACATGGACAAAGAAGGAAAGTGAATAAAAATAAACTATAGTATGGTTTCTGAAATCGACCAGTTCTGAATCAGAACTTGTGCAAATTTTCTCCAAATAATCATTTGTTTTAAAGCAAAGTCATTATATAAGCCAGAGCAGAACAAAACATTCACGTTTTGATAGAGAGTCGATTGCCTAAAACAACATAAACCGCATGGTTAATTGGTATTACACGCGTATTTTTCTAGAATTCCGCCCTACTAATCGTTCAAAACCAATTTCCCTGCATTTCAATCGCTGACCTCTCAGATCAACTCAAACAAACAGAAATGGCCTTTATCCCAACAGAAATGGCAGATAGATGTCGTACAGGCAATCAAGCGGGACGAGAGACCACGCGCGAGAAAAAGCACCGCCTCCGGGTAGGGAGAAGGTTTCAGAACTTACGGCCTTGTCATCTGGAGAAAGAGGACCATTGGTGCTCCTCGCCATGGGAGAGGACGAGACGGCGGTAAGGAGACGTTTCTTTTTCTCAGGCTCGTCCGCATCCGCGTCTCCGTTGCCCATAACTCACCCGCCTACTTCTCAAGCGCGCCACCATCAACGGCGACCTTCTACGGCGAACCACCGCATAGAAGAATCCCTAGGTCGCCGCTGCCCCTTCACAGACCAATCGCCGGAGGCCTCAAGATCTCCTTGCCCGTCAGAGCCAGCAACACCGCCTGCGTCTCGTCCCTCCGCCACCGTCGATGACAACCTTCAACGGCGAACCCCCACATGCAGCCCTCCCGGCCCCGCCGCCTCACGGGGAACGAACGCTCACCGCCGGATCACCCACCGTGCGGCTGGCTCGGTGAAGAAAACCGCGCCGTTGTGTACCCGCTATAGGGCTTAAAGTCCCACCCGGACCACGAACTCGGAGGCTCCGACCGGTTCCACTTCGACCCGGCCGTTTCGGCCCAGGCCGATTCGACTCCGATAGCTGGCTTTTTCCTATTTATTATCTTAATTTTTTCCCCTGCTCAAAACACTGCTCTCTTTCTGCTTTCTTCAAGCGTTGACTTGCCCCCGCGTGGGACCCACAACCAAAGAAAAAGATATCCCAACTTAGGAACCTAATCCCCGGATTAAGATGTAATTAAGAGGCACGATTAAATTCTCCATCGTCTTTTTGTGCCATTTTATACACTAATACTCTAAAGATACCTGCTGATTGGGTGATTAAGCACCTTCTTTTTTTGTCGTGATTCCATGTCAGAAAGGGGCTATCTTTAATGGCGGCAAACGAGCCCAATGGGCCGAGAGCGATCGTGGGCATCAGATTCTTATCGCGGCCGATATTCTGCAAATAAATATAGATAAAATATATCTTTCGAGATAATTATAGCACTTTCGAATTATTCGAGAAATAAATTGGATCTTAAAAAATATGTTTAATCACGCAAGTGGCGGCACAGAGGGTAATTAAAAAATAAATAATTCGATATAAAAGTAATATCAGCGAATATTAGACTTGACGAACATTTTTTTTCTACGCGGGAAGTTGGGTGGGAGGAGTAAACTTCCGTCGGACGTCGGGGCATCGGAGACTTGACACCAGCATGGCGTTTGCATGCCGGAGGGGTTCCACGGAGTTCCACCGGCGGTACCACCGAGTTGCACCGGTCCCTTTCCATCGCCGTTCGACTGAAGAGCCCACGAGGTTGCACCGGTGGCCCTTGCTCTCTCATCTCCTCACGAGCCGCTAGGTGGGTCCTGGTTAAACAATGGAATTCGAGGCTCACACGGCAGTCTCCTCCAAATCTAGAGAGAGAGAAAGAGATGTTGCGGAATTCTTTAATGAACCCTATTGGGTTTTCTATTTTGATGAACCGGGAACGATGGGGCCGTGGAGGAACGCCAGCCGGCGGAGCGGCGTTGCGCCGGTGGGGAACAGTAAGTGATCGGGGAAAGGGAACCCGGAGTACCATTGGCATCACCACAGTTGACGCATGCTAAGAGAATGATGACAAGAACATAGACAAAGGTTTCGTATACAGCCCTACGCAGAGGGTTAGAGAGAGAGAGAGAGAGAGAGAGTATGACCTTTCCGAGATGTTAGAGGGTGGGAAAGGCAAAGCAAATTAAGTCTTCAGAGAAAGAAGAATGAAGGAAGGAGAGGAAGATGTACAAGGTCTTGAGAGATTTGGACGGCGCAGAAAAGACGAAGAACAACAGAGAATTGCCCTGTTTATTTATCTCTCCAGGTCCATTTCTGCAAAGCCTTTGCTCATGTGGACGAAACTCTGGGTCTCCTCCGTCCTCCTCTGAGACTCCAAGTCTAGGCCACCGTCATCCCCTTCCTTGGCCCCAAGCGACACGTATTCCTGAACTTCCGAGTACTTCTTGGTGACGTAGAGGTAGAAGAGGACGGAGAAGATGGAGACGCCGGCGAGGAACCAGCTGAACTGGAGGTTCACCAGGGACTTGGCCCGGTGGAGGGCGGCATCGCCATGGCAGCGGACCACCATGTGCCCTTCCTCCATGTGCATGAAGCAGCCCTTGAAGACCAGCGCCGGCGTCCAGAGGACGAAGCCCATGAGTATGAACCACAGCCCCTGGAAGAGGATGCTCGCTGACCGGACAAAGCTCACGGCGAAGCTCCTGGGGAAGCCGATGCCCATGAGGTTGGTGACGAGCGACACGACGACGACGGCCTGCAGGAGGAGATGATACTGGCCCTCCACGCCCATGTGGTCTGTGGAATGGAGGTGGAACATGAGGAGTTGCTGGGAGAAGGCGACGGCGGCGAGGATCTGGGTGAGCTCGAACTTGGCCCGCGACCGGAGCCGGTCGAAGAGGAGAGCGAAGATGGCGTAGACGAGGAAGTTGAGAGATATGGAGGAGTGCTCGAAGTTGTGGAGGTGGTCGGAAGGGATGGTCCAGTCGTCGTCGAGGGGCTGTCCTTTGTGTGGGCCGGTGAAGAGCTCCATGGCTATGGAGATGCAGGAACCCACCATGATGAGGTAGAGCTCCAGGTGGCGGAGAGGCACCGCCGGGAACCACGGCGGGGCCACGTAGGAGTTGGGCCGCTGGGCGTGGAGCTTGATGTGGTTGAAGAGGTGCCAGAGGCCTATGATGAAGAAGCCGAAGCCAGGGGCAACGTGGCCGACGAGGGTGCCCATAGCTGCTCCGAAGCCGGCTTAACTCGATCTCCTACGGCTTCCCCCCCCTCCCTCTGGCTTCCACTCAAACGTGGGTTCACGTGATGAGCGTTTATAAACTGAGAGAGAGCTCGCGAAGGGAAAGAGAGAGGTTGAGGAGGGATGGGTACTCCGCGGCAGGGCTCCCTATTAAGGAGGGTTGGAAACTTCTTCGGTCTAAGCTCTAGAGAGTTCGAAGACGACCTTAAAGTTCTTCCAGAACGGGTGGGCCCTCTCTCCCTCTCTCTCTCTCTCTCTCTCTCTCTCTTAGAGTTTGACTACCCGCGAGCGTTAAGCAAAGTCTCTCACACGAAATCACGATCCGTTGAAGACAGAAATGATCCGTTGAAGTCTCTCTGTCCGCTTTTATCCTTTTTTAACGGTGGAGATAAGACTCCCACGTGCCGGCCTCTCCCCCTTCACTCCCGCGGCGGCGCACAAGGTGACAAGCACCGGCGGGCATTTCGGCTCTGCCTCCAACAGCCGTCGATCAAAATCAGTAAATGGAGCCGGGCAATAATTTCCTTCATTCCATGGCGTCGTCCTCCAATGAAAGCACCGTCAAGGGAGGCCTCAGTCAACAACCGGCAACGTCGGGAGAAACAAATAATCTCAAATAATAATATAATAAAACGCGTGATCTGATGTTGGGTTCCCTCTGACTTGTCAAGGAACCCATCTCCATAACCTGAAATCCATCTCTCTGAAGCCCTCGGTCCACCGGGGCCGTTCGTTGCCCGGCGCTCGCCGCCACGCCGGGGCCTCTTTCTTGCAGCAACCGCTATCCGAGCCTCCACTGGGAAACCCCTACGTCATTTATCTCGTATTATTCAGGCACTTCCAGGAAACACCTCCGGCGAGAACCACCGCCGGAGACGGCCGTCACAGAAGGCGGTTTTTGAGGATGTGAACTGGGTTCAGGCAGATGGTCTTTGTTTCTTCTCGCCATCGTCTTAACAGGAGACAGAGTTCTACGCTACATATAGCTCATCGTCAAGCTCGGTGCCGCCTTCTTCTTCCCTTTTCCTCTAGCGTTTTGGGCAGGTTCGGGCTCCCCTCGCTTTTGACGAGTTCTGCCAGTAAACTCGTCCGAGCAATAGGTTGGACCGGCGGCGGGACGATTCAGACCAATCCCACGTGCAGAAGTGAGATCCCCCCCTGGTTCTACTCTCACGAACGAGCTGACGTGGTACACCTTCTAGCGAGATTTCCACGGAGAAAGGTGGCCTTTTTCCGTGCCGGAGCCTTCGGAGGATCCGCCGTAGCTTCCGCAGGCTTCTGCAGGAAGCCCCTCCCCTCTCGGGCCGTCGTCCCTTTCGTCCTGTAGATTCTCGTCATCTTCGGCATTCCTTTCATCCCCATGCATGCATCCTGCCCGACCGAGTCGAACTCGATTCCTCCCGTTCCGTGGACCAACCCAATCGGTTTCTAAGCCGCCAAGGTTAAGATAAAGAGGAAGCTGAGCTAACTCACAGGAGCGAGTGCCGTGTCACGGAAGAAAACAAGAAGGTGACGCGAGAGCCATAAAACCGAGTCGCTTAGCTCGTCGTTCCCGAAATGGCCGGATTAGGTTTAAATCCATAATGTCGTGATAAGGTGACGACGAGGGAATAGGACCGAAGCCGTTGTGGGCCCCCTGCCGATCCAACTCCCCGCCGCCGTCGGAATCTCCGGGTTAGACCTACGACTCTGGGTATCCCTTCCGTTGGGATAGGCGACGTACCGGCGTCTATGGAAACAGAATGAGCCGATGTAAAAGCAGAGCCGCCTTCGCTATCTCCCGGAAAAGCCGTCGGAGGGATACAGAATGAGAAGAGAATTACAGAAGTGGGAGAGAAAAAGAGAAGCGAGAGACAGAGAGAAAAGGCAAAGAGATAGAAGGAGAGAGAACGAGAGAGAGAGAAGGGAAGAGAGAGAGAGGGGAAGAGGGGACAGAAGAGAGGCAGAGGAGAGAGAGAAGGGAAGAGAGAGAGAGGAAAAGGGACAGAAAAGAGGCAGAGTAGAGAGAGAAGGGAAGAGAGAGAAAGAGGAACAGAAGAGAGGCAGAGGAGAGAGAAAGAGGAAGAGGGACAGAAGAGAGGCAGAGGAGAGAGAGAAGGGAAGAGAGAGAGAGGAAGAGGGACAGAAAAGAGGCAGAGTAGAGAGAGAAGGGAAGAGAGAAAGAGAGAGGGGAACAGGACTGCCCAAATTGCTTCGGTCACGACGTCCTGGTCTGGACCGTCGGTTATCCAAATCCCCTCTCTCTCTCTCCCCCCTCTAGGATCATTACGTCATGGGCGGAGCTTGAAAAAGACGGACGGCTCAGATTAGCACGAGATGGGACCTACCAACCCTCCCCAGTGACGTCATATCACATGTAATCCGACCAAGACCGTGGACGATCAATTGGTCAACATTTCCGTGGCCTTGTGGATCGAGTTGACATAGACACGTGGAAGAACAGAAAAGCGCCTCTCAATGTGAATCCGTCTATTGAGTTTTATGAAAATCCGATCGCCACTAAATGAGAACCGATAACCGTCACGATCAAAGGGACAAAGGCGGATCCGATTAGATTCTGTACCGCCACTGTCAGCTCTTTCAGTCCCATTTGGCCTATTTTCACGAGCACGACGGCCCACGGTCCAGCCCATTGAGACAGAGCGGCCATTGCGATATAGTGGGCCGCGCAATCCCATAGGCCAGTGGGCTTCTGACCGTGTAAGTGCCCGTCCGGGGAAGCTTACCACCGTGGGGGGAGGGTTCCAACCAGGCATAAACACGAACTGGGCCCACATCTTTGGGTTCATCTGTTGAGGACCACAATGTGGGCCGACCCGACTTAGGCATAAATGAGGGGGAACGCGTTTGGGATGAATTGTTCCTGAGTAATATTCTCATTCCCTCGCTTGTCACGTTCTCGTATTTAATAAAGTTCGGGCATGAAATTAAACACGACTGTGGGGAGTCAACGCTCGCAATCCCAGGGTCAAAGGACGATTTGATAATAGAGGGTGCCAATGGGCCGATCGGCTTAGAAGTATGGCCAGTGAGACCCAAAGAGGCCAAGAAGGAGGGGTGGAGCCGCCACACAGAAGCCTACTCAGCTGCAACATGTAGATCTAGACGAGGTCTTTTTCCGGTAAGAAATAATTTATGGGCCCCATACAAACAAAGCCTACTTGTTGAAATATAGCCATTTTCCACACGTGAGCAGCGGGAAAAAAAGTCAAACTTGGTGGAAAGTCTTCACATTCAAGCACAGCCCACTGAAAACACTGTTCATCTCAAGACATGAAGATGTTCTACCATCCGATCTAGATGAAGCAATGTGAGGACGTGGTATGATAGATTGAGTTACAGGATCAACGGAATTAGAGAACTAATCAGGCTAATTAAATTATTTTTATATAAATAAAATTATGTTTAGTTGAGAGAGCATATAAACAAAATACATAAACAAGGAAAATGCTCATAGATATATTTTTTTTTCCACGCATTGCATGGATTTGGTCAAAGAAGGTGGCAAGCTGTATGCACCAACTATTTCCCATAGGTAGCATGATCAACGCCATCTCATGGTGGCTTAGCTATCAAGGATTGTTAGTGGTGCCAGCGGTGGGAGCTCCATATTCCACGTTGCTATTATATTATATTCACCATCTTATACTTGTTGTGGCTAGATAAGGGTAGCAACATCAATGCGATGGTAAATTTGGCAATAGTTAAGATACGAGTGATAGGGAAATCAAATGGTGACAACCCATTGATGAGAGCGGACCAAAGTTCTCTTAAAATTTGTGAAATTCCAATGTGGAATAAAATTAACTAATTCCATTTCTAATTATTGTAATTGATATCGGGTCGATTACCTTATTTTTGGAAACGAAAATGATAGAAAATGACTTATTTCATTACCAAGCACATTCCATGGTGTAGTGGATTTGCATGGAAAACATTGGTCGAAATATTTCACCCACTAACAATTATTAGATTCATACCAACAATCGGAGGGTTAGTGACTGGAAAATAATTTGAAGCAAATGAAATAGATAAATAAGGAAAATCCTTATGATAAAACTGAAATTATTTTTGGTTTGATTCGTTAAATCTACTCTCTTTTGTGGATGATGAAAGAGATCATTAAACACTTGTTGTATTTTTTTACTAAGGTCTCATTCTTCACCCTTTTTTTAATATTTTATGTACTCTAAAAATCTTTGTGGATTTCAACATTTCATCAATATGATGGTAGAGATGTAGATCGTGATGTCTGCTAATAAAGTTGGAATAATCAATTAACTAAATTAATGTGGTCCACGAGCAAAAAACTAATGTCTGCATGTTTTAGATCTGCAAGATAATGGAGAAGATATCAAATCATTATTATTATCATCGTCATCCACATGTTTCTCTTTGTCATTGTCGTCAACATCTTGGTCCCTAATTAACATACTTTATGAGACGCATTTTGAAGGAAATTGAACTCGATCATCTTGTTTGAAAGGGACTGTACAAGAAAGAGTTGGCATTTTAATTATGAGTCTTGTTTAGGTTAACGTTAACTGAATATGGTTATGGACCTGCTCTTCAATAATGAGGTCAAGATAGTATCTAGGATGCGATGTACCCTATAACCTGATTAGGACCTGTTGGAAATGGTCCTTGAAGTTGTTTGCTTCGGAATTATTCAAAATTGACAAAACTTTCCTTATTTACAGAAAAATAATAATATTCTACTAATGGGCATAGACTTTTAGGATTAAGTGGGCCATGCAAATCTCAAATCTTATCCCACAAAATTCATTAATTACAATACATTGATTAAAGTAATGAAAGCTAGGTCTGGTTCATATATATACTCCCCTCGTGAATTTTGACGAAGGACTTTAGTATGGCAAGCATATTGCGATTGAGGGTAACTTATGAAATGAATTCTAAACATACCAAAATTGTTCTCCTACCAGTTGGACGCTAGAAATCCCATCGAATCAAAATCTTCT